TTGCATTATACATATCGGATTGCTACGGTTTTATTCTCGTTTTAAAGCTTAGAAACAGGTCTATAACTTCTATGTTTTGGTCTCAGCCCAGTTTAATCCGTAAGATTCCCAAAAATTACTTAGAAAGTCACGGAAGTGACAGGGCAGATTTCACCTAGGCACTTCATCAAACAACTCATGTGCATAAAATCACTCTACTACAATTACTACTATACTTCATTCTCTAGCCATCCAAAATGGGAGAAAACTCCCTCATATAACCATAATCCCTGTCAAGAAAAGCACTTCCAAAAAGGTTTACACAACATCCCTCAAGCTTCATCTCAAATTCCGTTTCTCATCACACATCAAAAGCACTTCTCATAATACATATACATCTCAACTCAATTCTCAACAACATCATATAATTATACAAGTATACATCTCTACTCAATCTCTAAATCTCTACTCAAAAAAAAAAAAAACTTATCAAAACTCAAGTTGGTAGGATTTACTTACCTCATACTTGAGTAGTCTCCACTAAAGCTCTCTACTCTTGTTGGACCATAGCTTTCCCTTATTTCCTAAGCATAAACTTAGTAAGAACTAAACCCTTACAAGAATAAAACTCATCTCTAAAGTAGGGATTCTTACCTCTTCTTGCTTAGGATCGCTTCTTTGTCAAATTCCAACTCAAAATTCTCAAAAATCCCTTGGAAGATTGAGTGAGGAATTGAGAGAAAATGGGAGATGAAGAGGCGGTGGAAATGGGTGAAATGAATAGGTTTAGAGAACTCAATCCTTATTAGCTCATATAATATACACTCTTTCCCATTTTGCCCTTACTCTTTCTTGAAAATTCCACCTTTATCCTTTAACTCTTTACAAACTCACCCCCATTTTACACTATTCTCCATGAAATTTCCTTACATTTTACTCCCCACTTTTCCTGCCAATTAGGGGTAGAATTGTCATTTGACCCCTATGAAGAATTCTCTAGAAAACTCAAGGAACTTTTCTGCCGTCCTGTCGCCGCAGCGAAGAACTTCCTATCGCCTCGGCGAAACATTCCAGAACCGACACCGCCAACACAGAACCAACGTCGCTGCGGCGAAGCTTCTTCCTCGCCCCGGCGAAGGATGTAACTCCAAAATCCGCCAAGTCTTGATCAATTCCATGATACACACTCAATCAAACCCAAAACATCAACTCAACCAAAGGCCAACCAAACAACATGAGCAATATACAAACTCATTTAGGGGCAATTCAGTAATCCTTTAGGCCATACCATAAACAATGGCTACGTATTTCAAGTTGGGTGTTACAAATCCTAAGCATCCAAACGTAAGATTCTTACACCAAGATGTGAGATTAAATTTTTTTAAGTGTTGAATTCTTATAGTTTTATATGCTTAGGGTTTAAGAGGAAGAGGAAATCCACCAAAGAGAGATTATAGTTTTGGAATTAGTCAAATTTAAGGTAAGTAAATCCAACCCTAGTCATGATTTGAGCAATAATTGTGTAGAGAAATTCTTATATGTATTTATGTTCTTGAATGTTGAGAATTATTGATGGAACTAATGTTAAATGATGGTTAGAATTCCACCATGAGAAGTAGTGTTTGTGTATACGGTGATTGATGGAAGTTTGGACGAGTTAATAAAGAATTTGAGTAGAATTATGGAGTGTGATTTCTTGTCCAGGTTTGGTGTCGATTTTAAGGAGCTTTGCTCCAAATTTTGATGGTTAGAGATTGATATGGAGATGTAATTCACCAAGTGTTTTGTTTGTGCATACAAATTGTTTGATGAAATTTCAAAGTGAAGTGCATGTATGAATATGATAGCATGTTATCTTGATATGAGTTTGTAGATGGTAGATAAAGTAGAGAATGACATGTCCACATGCCATGTTGCATTCTTGAATTTAAACATTTGATTTTAGAAGGAATAACAAGAAAAAGCCTATCTACATGCATATAAGAACACTAAAGAACAGAGAGAGAAAGAAAGAAAAGAAAATTACTAAAGAAAATAAAAGAAGAGAAACTGAATACTAATTTCTAAAAGAAAGATAAGAGAAGAGAAGGTTGTTGCGATGGGGGAGCCGTGAGTGACAAAGAAGAAGAATAACCCGCATGCACACCACCTTCAGTGAGCGGCCTAAGAGTAGGAAAGAAGAATTTGTATAGTCCATAAGAAGCGCATGTGGATGAGGACTATACCCAAGAAAGAATTTGAGAATACACTCACATGGCCAGGGTTCCGAATCCATGCCTCAACCGAGTCCGATCGGCAAAGAAAGAATAGAAAAGAAAAGAAATAAAGAAAGAATAGAAAAGCAAGAAAGAATAAAAAGAAGAGAAACAGAAAAGAAAGAAGAGAAACAGAGATGAGAGAATTGAAACAAAAGAAAGAAAACAGAAAACAGAAGAACAGAAAAAGAAAATGATGTGCGTAGAAAAGTTTGTGCATTGTGCATGTGCATCATGCCATTTCTACTATCTTGAGTTAGTTTCTCTATTTGTGCTTACATATCAGTAAGTGAGAAGTAAGAATTTTAGAAAGAACAGAGAAGAATAGAGAAGTTTGATGTAAGCAAATAAATTCAGAATATGAGTAACGAAGGAAAAAGAGTAGCATAGTGGATTTACTTACTGAGCAATTAGTGATCAATCCGTTGATTTCACTGTTTTTAAAGGTAGTAGGTGAGAAGCGGAGGAGAACGACACTACTGTCCAATTGTATTTTGAATTTGTGTATATGACTTTCTTACTTGATGTAAAGAATTTATATATGAAAGTAAAGTTAGTTTTGGGCCCACTATCTTATGCTTATATACATATGTGTTTTCTATAACATATTTAGTGATTTCATATTATATTTCCCAAAGTACAGTAGCTAGAGAGGGTTATTACACGGAGTGTAAATTACGTATATAAATATTTCTTAAAACTAAAAAAATCTGTAAATTACGTATATAAATATATGTAAGAAAAACAAAATTAATATAACTAGTATATTCTTACGCATTCTAATTAGTTTTATTAGTTTTATCGAATAAGAGTTTAAGGCCTTCCACATCAATTCATGGTTGACTTTTTACTTGATAAGAATATTTTAAAATCAGATGAATATTTTTATGCAGGCTATTTAATCGCATATGCTTCAATGGCCATGCTAAAAAAATTGTAAATATTCCTAAAATGTGCATGTTTTTTATGAGGACAAATGAGTTGTAAAATCCAATGACTTAACAATTATGCCCTTAATGAAACAATAAATAATATATTCTTAATATATAACACTAGACTATGCTAGATTCGATAGTCTAGCATTTAACATAATGATTTAACATCCTAATTAAACCATGCTAAATGGTGCTAGACTTAGTGATCTAGCACATTTCGGTTATTTTTGTCATTGTTATTTTTCTTAAGGGCAATAAGGTTAAATCATGTGATAGGCTAAATCTGTCATTTAAACAAGTACTTGACATTTTAATAATTAAATTTAGTAAAGATGACTGTATATGTAAATTATTAATAAATCAAGCTCTCTTTAAAAAAATATATAATTAGATTCCAAGAACAATATATTTTTTTTAGTTACACTAGCTAACACATTTGACTTCATGAATGATTTTGCTGTCATTCTTGGTTCTAATCAGGCACGTAGCCACATAGTGGCTTGTGGGCTCAATTGAACCCACTGAACTTTTTAAAATTTTCAAAAAATTGTTAATGGTTTATAGATTTTATAATTTTAACTCCACTTAATTTCATGTTGACCCCACAAAATAAATTATTAATTAATACTTTTTAAACTTCTCTTTTCTTTATTTCCTCTTTTTTGCTCTCATATTATATTTGTCCTTTGGTTGGATACTCAAGAAAGGCTACTCCTTTGGGTTACAAGGTAAGGTGATACTAATTTAATTTTTATTTTTTACTTAAAATTAATTCTTTTATTTTTTTGATTTAATTTTGTTTATGTTGAAGTACGGGTTAATTAATCGTTGTCTTAAGTTAGGTTTGATAAATTGTGGTTAGTTATTGACTTAATTTTGAATATGGTTTAAAGAATTGATGAAACCTTAAGTTGTAGAGATTAAGGGATTTGGTTTAATTTTGATATATTGGTTAATTGCTTGATATTTAGAGTTAGATTTGATGAGTTTTCATGTATTTATGAGTTGAATTTTATTGGGTTAGTAGAAATTATTTGAAAAACCTAAGTTAGTTGAATTTTGATAAATTTGTGTTGTTTTTTAATTGTGATTGCAAATAAATTATATTTCTGATAATAAAAATTCTTTTATTTTTTTAGTTATGGACAAGTTTTTGATCAAAAGAAAGTTTTCTAATGAGGAACCATCAATTGAACAAAACATAAGGCGTCACGATAGTGTTCACAATTAGCCTATGAAATCTAGCTTAAAACAAACATATGTTGAGCATAACTTGAGTAGTCTTCCTGCAGATCCTAGATTAAGGATTAAAATTTTAGAATATCATACTTGCGAAAAGGACCTTGCCAACCACACAATCATAATTTTAAAAAGCGAGCAATTGAGAATTTAATGCGTTGTTTTAATCCCATTTGGTTTAGAGAATTTGCAAATTGGTTGGAGTATAGTGCAAAAAAGGAGGCTGTTTTTTGTTTGTGTTGTTATCTTTTTAGACATGAGATTGGAAAACCAGCATGTGGTGACTCTTTTTTAGTGAAGGTTTTGATGCTTGGAATAAAAAAGCTAGATTGGATATTCATGTAGGAGGTCCTAACGGTGCTCACAATCAAGCATGGAAAAAATGTGAAGCTTTGATGAGAAGATGAACATATTGAAGTGGCTTTTAATAGGCATTCCAACCAAATGAGAAAAGATTATTGACTTCGTTTAGGTGCCTCAGTTGATTGTCTTCGGTTCCTTTTAAAGCAAGGTCTTGCTTTCCTTGGTGATAATAAATATGATGATTTAAAAAAATCATGGAAATTTCCTTGAGCTTTTAAATTTTCTAGCTATGCATGATGAGGAAATTGATGCAGTTGTTGGACAAAACGCTCCCAGCAATGTTAAGCTAACCTCTCCTAATATTCAATATGACATTATTAATGCTTTTGCCATTGAAACTGTTAATGCTATTATTCATGATCTGGAGATGATTCTTTTTGCAATTTTGGTGGATGAATCTCGCGATATATCTGTGAAAGAGCAAATGATTGTTGTGTTACATTATGTTGACAAAAAAGGATATGTAGTTGAGAGATTTCTTGGCATTATTCAGGTTAATGATACAAGTGCTTATTCTCTTAAGTTATCAATTGATTCATTATTTTCCAAGCATGGATTATGTATATCAAGGGCAAGAGGGCAAGGTTATGATGGAGCTACCAAAATGAGAGGTGAATTCAATGGGTTAAAAAGTTTGAACATGAGGGAGAATGAATCAACATATTATATTCATTGTTTTGCTCATCAGCTTCAACTTACACTTGTTGCTATTGCAAAAAATGATGTTCAAGTTGGAAGTCTTTTTAACATGGTAGCTGATCTAGTAAATATTGTTGGAGCTTCTTGTAAGCAGCGAGATATCCTTCGAGAACGTCAAGCTGCTCATGTTTCTGAAGCATTATCTATTGGTAAACTTACAAGTGGACGTGGTTTGAATCAAGAAGCTACGCTTAAAAGAACAGGAGATACACATTGGGATTAACATTATGGTACGCTTGCATCTTTGATTGTCGTGTTTCCATATGTGGTAGATGTTCTTGATAATGTTGTTGAGGATGGTTCAAATTCTAAACAAAGAGCTCAAGCTTCTACTTTGTTAGAGTTTATATAGTCTTTTGATTTCATATTTAGCTTACATTTGATGAAGATTGTGTTAGGCATTACAAATGAATTATCAAATGCCTTACAAAAAAAAGATCAAGATATTGTTAATGCAATGAAATTAGTGAAGTTATCTAAACAAAGGCTACAAATGTTAAGAGATGATGAATGGGGTGGTTTGTTAACTGAAGTTTCTGCATTTTGTAAAGAAAATGGTATTATTGACTCACATATGAATGACAATTTTCAAATGAAAGTGCGATCGCGATGCATTTTTCATCAAGTTACAAATTTACATAATTATCAGGTGGAATGTTTTTATGCTACCATAGATTTACAACTTCAAGAGCTTAACAGTTGCTTTAATGAGATGAATATATAATTGCTTCTTTCCGTGACATGTTTAAGTCCGAATGATTCATTTTCTGCTTTTGACAAAAAGAAGTTGATTTGTCTTGCTCAGTTTTATCCATGTGACCTTTCACCAGTGGAGCTTGTGTTACTAGACAATTGATTGGATACTTATATTCTTGATATGTTCTCTGATAATGATTTTTTTGACATTAAATGTAATTGGTACTCTTACTGAAAAGATGGTTCAAACAAAGAAGAATGTGGTGTATAACTTGGTTTATTTAATTGTGAAATTAGCATTGATATTACTTGTTGCAAATGCAAGTGTTGAAAGAGCATTTTTTGCGATGAAGATTGTGAAAAGTTGACTACGGAATCGAATAGGAGATCAATTGTTAAATGATTGTCTTATTACATATATTGAGAGAGAGATATTTGATGGAATTATCAAAAAAGCAATTATGTAACGTTTTCAAAATATGAAAAATCATCGAGGACAATTGTAAAATTGAAAATTTGGTATATATACATTTTAAAAGTACATTTTTTATGCTTATTACTTTAGTATATATTTTATTGTAAATTTATCAACTTTGATATTTTGAACCCACTGACTCATACTCTTGGCTACATCCCTGGTGCTAATCCTAGTCGAGTGATTATCTTTGTTTAAAATATTATATGAATTAAATATGCAAATTTTTGGTTATTATATTTGTAATAATGGAATCGAATTTACCAAACCTCCTCCTTAGAATATCCAAAGAATTATTTGTCAGTTCGATAATATTATCGTGTCGATATAAAATATTAAAATAAAAATAAAAGATGACATATCATGTTTTCTTATTTAATCTATAATTTGGTGGAACCAAAAAAATAAAAAATAAATAAAATTTGTCGATTTGGCTATTGTATTACACTATATAGGTGTATTTTATAAATTTTACGTTTTTAATTTATAACTTAAGTGTTGATATATTGTACTATAATAAAACCAATATTTGAGTTATTAGCTAGGATAACTATTATGTGATATTATTATGACTATATGAATTTTAGTTTAATTACATATTTAAAAAATTATTGATAAATTAAATCGCAGTTTGCTAATGAGAATACGAGATCTGATTTTAATGAGAATCGCATTCTTCTAGTAATTATTTATAGTAATTAAAAATAAATAATTGGGACGCCATAGTATTGTAAATTTATATATACTGAAGGATAAATTCATGGTTGAGCCGATAAAAATATTTTAGATTATGGGAACATGACAGATAAGAGTCAAAAGTATACACTCTACACTTCAATTCATGATTGACTTTACTTTATAATTATATTTAACATTATGAATTGATTTTTTAACTTAAAAAGTCAAATGAATATTTTGATACAGGTTACGCAGTACCGGATGTTATTGGTAAACGTTGGCTCTCTCCTACTTAGATTTATCGACTCTTCTTCAAATAAACCATTATAAATACCTAGCACAACAATGAACCAATCCATCGAAAAAAAAATTCTTAACATCAAAATGCACGCCCCTGTTGCGGCAAACACGGCCGTGGCTGCATCGGCTTGTTCGGTGTGGGATGTCTACGACACTCCTCAAGTCCTCACAATTATAAATACATTTCTACCAAATGTGCTTGGAACTGTAAAAGTCCTTGAAGGTGATGGACATGTTGGCACATTTCTAAACGTTACATTTCCACCAAGTAATTAAATTAATTCATATTATTTATCAAACATTAAATTTGAGTTACTGAATATTAAATATTGAATATTTCCACAAAATGATACCAAAATATTCTTTTTTAAACAAAAAATTAGATTACAGTGAACAATATCTATAATGTCTCTTTTTCAAATTTGAAGCTTTCTATTAACATATTAGCATTATATCATTCCACAAGTTCCTATCATAGTTTGTTGGATTAGAAGTCTTTTCCTAATGGGATATTAACTCTTAATAGGATGTGAATCCTTGTTTCTTAGGATTGTTTTCACCTAGGATTAGGTTGAACTATTATCCTATTTACATTAAATTTATTTCTTTTATGTATACACATTTATTTAGAATTCTTTTTCCTTGAGGACTTGGGGTTCCTAAAATCTTAAGATTATAGTATTATAAACATGTGATGTATTGAGTCTTTTGTAAGACTTGATTAAGAGGTTTTGGGTAGCTCCTAAGTAGAGAGAGATCCTTAATATTGTATTTGTCTCTTGTGAAGTAAATATTTTTGTTTGGGCCCATGGATGGAGGCATATGACCGAACCACATAAATCTTGTGTGTTTTCTCTTCTCTCCTCTATTTCTTCTTTCCTTCCTTGAGTGTTCTAATTAAACCTATTGGTTGTGTGTTTGACCAAATATTATGCAACAATTGGTATCAAAGCCTAGGTAGAAATTGTCAAAAAAAAGACCAATGTTTTAGGGTTTATAATTAAAGATGGCGCCCAGTTCCACCAATTTGAGGTGCCAAGATTCAACGGTTCTAAATTTGAATTATGGAAGTTGAAGATGCGAGCAACCCTTGTGAAAGATCGATGCACAATTGCTCTAAAAGAAATGGAGGCGAAGCCAGAGAAAATGTCTGATGAAAAATTCAAGGAGAAAGATGAGTTGGCCATGAAATATATTTATGTTGCATTGGATGGGGTAGTTTTATTCAACGTATCTGAAGAAACTACGGCAAAAGGCTTATGGGACAAATTGCGAACAATAAGGTAAGTCTACATTAAATAGGATCTTTCTGCAAAAGCAACTATACAACCTAAGGATGGAGTAGAAGTCCTCTTTGCGACAACGCTTGAAGCCAGATGAGGTGTTTGATGAAAAATTTAAGGAGAAGGAGAGGTTAGCCATGGCAGATATTTATGTTGCCCTGGATGAGGTAACTTCATTCAGCGTATTTGAAGAAACTGTAGCAAAATGCTTATGTGACAAATTGCAAACAATATGGGAAAGGAAGTCTACATCAAATAGGATATATTTTACAAAACAACTATACAATCTAAAGATGGGGGATGAGTCCTCTTTGCAGCAACACTTGAATGACTTCAACACCCTAATTAGCGAATTAATAGCTATTAAGTGAAGATTGATGAAAAAGAAAAAGCTACTCTGTCGCTTTGTTCTCTGTCTGATTCGTGGGATACCTTAGTCATGAACATCAGTAAAGATGTTGATCTCACTTATGAATCAGTAGAAACTTTGTTACTCATTGAAGAGCTGCATTGGGAAACCAGAAGGCGATTCATCAAATGATGCAATGTCACGCAAGGTAGACCTACAAAAAGAGCATATGAAAGTAGATATCAGTCTAGATCAAAGTCTAAAGGCAAAAGCAAAGGGAAGTGTTAGAACTGTAGAAGGAGGGGCCAAGCTGAGGAAATATTATAGATTGAAAAAAAAAAAAAAACAAGATAATCCCAATCTGATCTACTAGCATCAAATTCAAATAGTTCCTAGGTGAATATTGTTGAAGTTAAAGATTCATATAAATATGGAGAGGTGGTGTCAATAAATTCGCAACAAGTTATAGAATATCAATTAGTGTTAGATTCAGTTGCTTCATTTCATATGACAATACATAGAGATTGGTTCTAGACCTATAAGTGATGTGGGGATACTACTTACATGGTTGATAACAACACGCGAAATAGTGGGAGTTGAAGATATTCGAATTACTATATTTAATGGTTTCATGCATACTATTTTTGGTGTACGCCATATGCCAACTCTTTGGAAGAGTCTTTTGTCATTGGAAAGTTCGATGAAAATGGATATAAATTTTCTAGAGGAAAGAATAAATTGAGGATCTTTAAAGGATCACCAGTGGTTGCAAAGGGAGAGTTAGCAGGTGGTTTTATCGATTCATATGAGAGGTTGTGATTAGCAAAGCTATTGTTGTTAATGCTGTGACAAATTCGGCATTAATCTGGAGTTGATGTTTGGGACACAAAAGCAAGCAATGACTGAAGGTACTTCTAGATAGAATTATTACCTGGTTTAAAATATGTTAATTTAGATTTTTGTGAACGTAACATCGCCTCTATGGTAAATGTCATAGAGCTAGTTTCCCTTCATCCATCACTAAAAGTAAGGATGTTTTGGATTTGATACATTTTAACTTATGGGAGGCTCTTGTTAAATCTTTTGGAGGTGCAAAGTATTTTATCTAATTTATTGATTACCTTTCTAGAAACATTTATGTGTTTATGCTCAAAAGAAGTCCAAATCCTCATCTTGTTTCACAAAGGGGAAGAAGATAAATTGTCTTAGACAAGATAATAGAGGATATATATGTCTTCAAAGTTTATGGAGTTTTGAAATGGACATGGCATACAAAGACAACTGATGGTCCCTAGCACTCCAAAACAAAATAGAGAGGTCGAGCAAATGAATCGCATGCTTATGGATTGTGTAAGGACAATGTTGAGTAATGTTAGGCTGGAACAAATTTTTTGGGTAGAGCTAGTTCATACTACTTGTTACCTTGTAAATCGATTTTGTAA